GCTAACTGGAATTCCACAGTGGACTATTTGCTTCCTCTTTCAGAGATAAATCAAAAGGAAAGGAAAAGAAAAACAACAGTACTAGAAATACCTATCCAGATTAACTTGCAGCGGGAGCAGAAAGGTTTTATCATGTTAGCTCCATCAACATTTAAACAGAAACATTTACCAAAAACTGGGGGATTCAAAAGCACATTCCTGGTTTACCTTCTTAATTCTTTGCTTTTCTATTTCCAATCTTCCCACCACGCGCCGCTCTCATGTCTCCCAGCAAACCCACATCACCACAGCCTGGGCTGGCTGATTAGGAGGTGCGCTCGGTCTCCTGGCCTACTGGAGCCAAACCACTTAGAATACTTTGCTCATGTGTAAAACAGCATCCCTTTTGCAGAGAAATATGCTTTATTCAGGATATTTACCCGGGGAACAGCAGTCTTTCACAAGACTGGGAGAACAGCCTGCGATTTTCCACCTCCAGGCTCCCCCTCGCTTTCAGCAAGCGGTGTCTGCCCACGAGGGTCCTGCTCTCTCGGGAGCTGGTGCTAAGAGGGGGAGGAAGGTTAGCACCCACAGCAAGCTTTTGGCTATGACAAATTTCTGCCCCAAAAAGTCAGCTGAGACAACTACTATTATGACTACTAGATGCGGGTATCCAGGCAGCCCGAAACAAGCCCTCAGCACGTGGCCGGATCACTCCTGATAACCCAAGTTGCTTCCCGTGAAACTGTGCAGAAAGAGAGAAACGGTGCAATTGGGACTACAGACTCTTCGCAGTGACATCCCGGAACCTAAACCCGCTCGAGATGTTCAGCCACAACCCCGGCAAACAGGCACTACGCTCATCAAAACGCCAGCTAGAGGAAAAACTGGTTACTTATTAAAGCGGAGTGTGCATTGACGCGGAGGAAGACAGAGACACGTTTAGCTTTTTGTGGGGATGGAAATGCCTCTTGGTAAAGAAACCCCGCGATGTCTGCGTGCTCGGTGCCCGTCTCTGTGATACAACCCTATACCACACAGCGCCTCCGCTTGATTTTTGCTGCTTTATTACGGAGCGCGAACCACCAACCAGGCAGCGTCTTCTCCCAATGCTTGCCAAAAGCCAAAACAACCCAAGAAAGGGGTTTGCAGGTGAAAGTACCAAAATTTGTGTACCTGCAGGTGCAGAACTGATTAAGAGGCATGCATAAAGGGAGGTAATTTCTAAGCAGGTGCTTGTACTTATAAAACACAAATTAAGATATATACATACTTCATTGAAGTTTCTGTAAATGGAGTTAATCTAGAGATATGTCTAAGTAGATACCAACTTTAACTAATCTTAGATTAATGAACAAGTTTGTTAATGATTTTTTTACGCAACTTTGATTTTAGGAAATGCTAAACAGTGTTATATAGAGCAGAAACATGCAAGTATCAGAGACAAAGCAGAGGAGGACTCATTTCTTATTTTTCTATAGAGAAACTGTGCAGTAATATAAATTAACAAATCACATTATTTGACAGAATAAAAAGTGACCTTTTCAATATTATCTCAGCCTTGTTACTTCTGATTATTTTCTTTAGGTAAATTTATCATTAGCTATTTTTATCCATGAAACCAGGAGTATTTATGGAATCACTCTTTGATACAGTATTTACTTGGGTTTCTTATTTTGATTTGTTTTAAAGGTAATTTAAGACCTCATGAACAGTAACCAAACATTGAATTATCTAGTTGTCATGTTTCTATTTTGCTATGCAGGGAATTAATGCCTTGTTTTCTGTTACTATCACCTCCTGTATACCCTGGAACTATCCTTAAATTTTGGTCTGATTTTCTTTTTTCCTTTGTGAGAGCTTATTATTTAGTCATTTAGTAGCTAGTAGCGGATAAGAGATTCATTCTTCATTTATTTGACGGTGATTATTCCATGTTAAGAGCCCAAAGATATTTGGTAATAAATAAGTGGTTACAAACCTTAATGCAGTGTTCTCTTAGCAACTACGCATCTTCATGGCACATATATCAAACTCCCTGCTTTATCTGCTGATTTTCAGTCACTATCTTTCTAACCCAAACAGCATGAAATAGCATTTAGATAGTATCTTAGATGAACTGTTTCATTGTGCTCCAATCCTTTTTCCAGATCAAAATCCATCACTCTGAGGTAGTTTCTCACTCCACGTCCTCTTCTTGCCACAGCGGTATTTCTTTATTGAATAACTTGACAGATAAGAATTAACACGTCCTTTTCTGTATGCTCGTTTGCACAATAAATTACAAATAATCGAGATAGTCAAATGATAGCATTTTGATTGTTTTCGTTTAAGTGTCCAAATTTTAGCAAGAAACTAATATTAACAACACACTGCCAAAACCCATTACAAATTGGGTGCCTTCGGAGTCCACCAGCTCTGTAGCTGCCTTCTGCCTTTGTTAAGCTGTCTCTTTCCATTTACACTCCAAATTTGAACTCGGCGGATGTGTACTCTATTTAATTACACACTGATAGCATGCACGAGGCACTAGACACTGTCAAAATTTGAAGAAAGGCAATCCCTGGAGACTGTTCGCTATTCCTATGCAATGGCTATTTTTTCTTGCCTAGTTCAGGATTTTTCCTGTCGCCACAAAATGGACTTTTCTGTATTTCATCGGGCTCAGCCTATGCCAAACTTGCTCATTCTAGCCTGGTGCTTTCATGTGGACTCGCGTACTGACAGTGGCCTCACTACTGCTTTTATTGACGCCAGCAAAGAGTTTTTCGTATTTCACCTCCTAGCCTTCCTCCCCGACAAACACTCATACAGCCTTAAAAGAAAGAAAGAAAAAATGTTGAGAGAAGAGCGAGTGTTTTGCTCCTCAAATGATTCCTAGAAGACAAAGATCAGGAAAAATGCCTAGTTAGTCACTGGAAAAAGAAAAAAAAAATCTGCATCAGCTCTTCTCTGACCCTTTTTCTCATTAGTACTTCAGGAATTCACCCTGTGCAATGTGGCATGTCGTCCCAATTAGAGATCGGGCCTCCAAAAAGGACACCAAAGTGGTAGGGATACCATGTTGGGGTTATTCTTATGACCTTGCTCAACTGCTGCAGCCATTGGGTAGAGCACATCCATACAGCAGCTGCAAAGTTTTCCATAATCTCCTGGAGTCGATAAGAAGAGCTGGGCACGAGACCTCTCACTTCGTAGGTAAGTTTTCCAGTAGAGTTGAGGATCACAGTAAAATCAGGACAGGGGACTTTTGTCTGTATTGGGGTGGTTTTTGTCCAAGGTCATAGTTTGGGTCCAGAGTTACTACTGATGCAAATCCAGGAGGAATTAACACAGGTCTGGCTATTTTGATCTTGTCTCTTTTGTGACTTCCAAAACATTGTGATTTGGATTCCAAACATAATCCAGTTTTATAAACACTATTCTCCTGTTCTTTGGCTAAAAATATGCCACTGCTGCTCTGAGCTCCTGTATACTGATGACTATATATATTAATCCATGAACTACTTCGGCTAATGCGCCCCAAATCCTTAAACTGAAAATCAACTCTGAAAACATGGATGACATCAGTCCAGCTCCAGTGTTCCACTACTGGCAACTACAGGACTAGGTCCACTGCAGAGAGCGCGACGTGAACCTGAGCATGAATGTGTGGTCATAACGTGAGAAGCGTTTACAAGCAGGTAACTGGTTCCTTCATAAAATGTTTCCCTCTTTGAGCTCTGGTCACAGCTGCTTTTGCAGAATGTTATGGAGATAAATTTAAACAACAACAACAACAACAAAAACACCAAAAAAAAGAAAAGAAAACTAAAACACCCTCTTCTTTTTATATATATGGGAGATGTTCTTTCTCTGGAAAGGATGCTTCCTAGCCAGTTATAAACCAGAGTGATTTACTGAGTTAAAGGCTTCTACATTTGGCCATACGCATTTTTCTTTAGAAATGCGGCAACAATCAACGCAACATGAAAGCCAGCCAGACGCGTGACTGCCACTGCCCACTTTAGGTGGAAATTCTCTTTTATTAGAAACTGCGGAGCATGTGCGTGGGCAGGAGGGAGCAGGGCGGAGAGGTTTAGTCCCCGGTTGTCATTCTTTAGGCGTGATCACAATGCTGCAATCTTTGGAACGCGGCTGGACAGAACGGATGAGGAATGCCCCTGCCTCCCTTGGGGAAATCAGCCTGATGATGCCAGGAGCTGTGATTTGTCTCTCCAGGAATGTTGCCACCTGCAGCAATTAAACCTCCTCTATAGCATGATTTAAACAAGAGGATATTTTTTCCACAGAAACTGCCAGATCATTGTTTCCTCCAAGTGCCTCTGACAGGCAAGAAAATTAATGCAATGAGGAGACCTCGAAATGGGGTCCTGTGGCTGTCCGGGAAGCAGGTGAGGGATGCTGTGCATATAGCTTGGCAAAATTAAGTGAGCCTGACAACTCCATCACCAGTTCCCCAGCCATATCCATCAACCAGCGTTAAAGGAGCCGAAACTACATCTGATCCCTATGCTACCGTCCACCTTCACCGCCTTTGTCGGACAGCAAACAAAGCGCATGCGTAAAACCACTGCTGGACGCATTTTGTCATCCAACGTACCACAAGCAGACCTCTCAACAAACTCCAACGGCTTCTCTTACATATCGGAAGACAAGAGAACCACCATATAGACATGGATTTTTTTTTTTTAAGTCTTTTTTTAAAGCCTTTTAAAGTTTCTTTAGAATCGCCCTCACAACAAAACCGTTATTGTCAACAGAAACTCTTGCTTAGATATACCTCACCTCTTAGTTTTCACGAATGCAGATGAACAACAGCTTTCACAGACAAGAAAACACAGTTACACAGACCACACTTTACCCACGAAAGGTCAGGTATTGCAACATACTGTATGTCAAATACAGAGCAGAGGGACACATTCCCCTCGGGCACGCTGGCGTGGAGAACGGGGAGTTTCCAGGCACGTACCGTCCGGCTTTGCGGGACATCCCACAAAAAGCCTCTGCAACGATCTTACCTGTTCCGTGATGAAGGAGCTTGAGAAAGTGACAGCTGACCAAAAGAAGATCCCACAGCTGAGAATGATCTTTCTGTTGAAACGGTCACCGAGGTAACCAAAGATAGGTGCCGCAACCATGAAACTACAGATGAAAACTGCAAAGGAGAGAAAAAGGAAAGAAACGTTTAATAAACATCAGGCCAAGAACATGAAAACTCATTTTCTGCAATCCAAACCCTCTAGAGAGCAGTTCCATTTAATTAGACATTCTGCAGCCCTGACTTACAAAGCTGCCAGGCCTTCAGAAGTCAGCGTTTCCGTAATCAAACTGATTTTTCATTCCCAGAGAAACTCCAGAGCAGTGAACCCGCCTGACACCGGGAAGCACCAACCCCTCGCAGTCTGCTGTGGGGACGGGCAAAACCAGGACAGACTAAATTAAGAGTTTCTGCCCAAATGTCACTGAGAAGGGGAAGTAGAGGTTGGGAGGAATTTCAAGCAAACAGAAAGCAAGGCGAGGGCTCCTTGTTGGCTCTTGCAGCAGAGACCAGAAACAGGCCACAGAAACTGGAGTTTTTTCATCTTTCCTGGCAGTATTTTAAGGCAACCGTGGGCACAGTGAGGCAAACCAGTTAACATTACCATCATCCTACTGGCACCAGCCCTGTAGTTAGACAGAAAACTCCTGTCTGCTCATCAGGTCCTTTAAACAGTACTGTACTTGTATTTAAACCCATCACTGAGCAACAACTTCATTAAAAGAAAGAGTTTTAACCTACAAAGCCCAAACAGGCCAGGAATGTCCTCTTCTGAAAAAACTACAAGTTCACCTTTCCCCTTTGCTTTCCCCCCGAAAAAACCCCGAAGCATTAACCCCAGTAGGAACAAAGCTCTCGCAAGAACAACCTCTGCAGAACCTCCCCGACTTCAGCATCCACTCCTCCAGCCCAGTGCAGAACCACCTGCCCAGTGACACCACTGGAAACACCTGACACGAGCCGCCCACGCCGTATTCACGGCTAACTTGGAACCTGGCAGAAATTGCCAGATTTTAAGCTGATTTATACCTGGCTTTTGGCTCTCCACATTAGAGATCTGGATGAGAGCAACTACATTTCATACTGCACGGCAGTAAAATCACTTTTTCTTTCACTGACGGTCTTAGGTTCAACAAAGCCGGAAGGATTTGGGTGGGACACTGGAACAGCTGGAGGTCATAGAATGGTTTAGGTTGGAAGGGACCTTGAAGATCACCCAGTTCCAAGCCCCCTGCCATAGACAGGGACACCTCCCACTGGAGATCCCTCTTTAGTCACAGAGTTATGGCTCTCATTAATTATGGGGCAGTTTTTGGAAGGCAGGGTGGGCTTTTGGTACTGTCTAACCCTAGCTGTTTACTTTTAGTTGTATAAAAGGGGGTGTGGGGGGGATAGAATAGGGGAAAAAACCAGCAAGAGCAGCGGTCACACCCCTTTGGTTGGAATGCGTGCATACAATTAAAGCGGTTAAGACCCAAATTATGAATTTTTCATGGATGATGATATACGATAGCTCAAAAATGTGCAGAATGCTGAACTACGAAATGATCTAAGCGTCTTTTCTTTTTTTAATGTATTAAGATGTCAAAGCTGCTTTATAAATAATACATAGCCATTTGCATCTATATTTTGTGAGCCATATGATTGTGTGTATATCACTTTTGCACTGTGGTATTTGATAGGAATTACAGATTTACTCTTTTTACATTCAGAGTGAAATAAATGGAGATAACACAGACACGTTAAGACATGAAAAGAAGCACGTGCAAAATTATATCACACATATTTCAATAGTAATGCTACGCGCGACGTTGAAGCTCACAAGCGCATAAGCCCTATTGACAGAACACTCAATCCCTGCATCTCCCCCCCAAATCCCCATCCCTGTAGCCCCCCCACTGCCGGCGCAGAGCCCAGCTTTGCCGGACGGGGCTGTTTGTTGCATTGTGCCTCCAGCACCCATCTCTGCCCACGCGGGCTCCCACCCAGCCGGCCCACGCAAGGCTCGTGGTAGCCCAAGAGCCCCACCATTGTGCTGAGCCAGGTTCCCTGCTCCGTGGCAGGACAGGGACTGCCTGGGGGAATAAATGTTCATTTTCCAACACATTTTGTCACGCTCGCCCACCCCTGCAGCACGGTCCAGCTCCATCCCTGCATCCCTCGGTCTCCAGTGAACTTGGCTCTAGTAGACCAAAAGCGGCTCACAAATCTCTGCTCCACAAGGGTACATCTGCGCTGGCCCCAGTCCAACAAGGCACTCAAGCACATGCTTATATTAAGCACTTTAGAGTCATCAATTCCACGATTAAGCGCTTTCCCGAATTAACACCAAAGTGCTCGGCACCTTGCAAAGCGGGTGCGGCAACCTGGCACGAAGGGTCCGTGACTGTTCATTGGGGATGAGAAGCAGAAAATGAGTCTGACTCGTACAGAGCAGCATCCCCATTGCAATTTGACCTTCCCCTTGGAAGGACGCTGAGATTCATTCATCTCAGAATGAGATTTTCTGCCGGTTTTACGATGTAAAAAGACACGAAGCTAAAAAAGCTTCCAAGGGAAAATTAGGAAGATCCAAGTCAGCATCCCACTGTTTCAAATATCAAATAACCTGATTAATTCAACTTTGAGACATGGAGGGTGTGATCCAAAATTCACATTAATCAGTGGGATTATTAGCTTCAGTGACCTCTGGATCATAAACGCAAAGTCTAATTCTAGAATTTGGGCAAAAGCAGGCAAAAAGCACAAACCTCCTCTTTCCAATAAAACAAAGCGACAAAAAGATTGTCCAGTGCCTTTCCAACAGCACACATCCTGCTGTTACTCAAATCCCTTCGGAGAATTTATTTTTGGAAGATTCTGAACTGAGCCGTGAGCTTTGTCCCCGGTAAGCTGCTGACTTGACAGCTCCGCAAGGTGTAAAACGAAAGGACAACAGCTCCTAATAAATAACAGGTAATGGAACACAGCTGTCATAATAATAAATGCAATTTATATCACAGTATTTATGACCCAAATATGCATCGGAGCCTTGATTGACTCAAATAAATGCAGAATATGATGGCTGTGTGGTCTGTCAAAAGGATTGGCCTGTTGTAGGCATTTCGCATGAATCAATTTTTGCAATTACTCCTGCAAACGACAGCCGAGCCTCCGGAACAGCACACCGGGGCGGCAGAGCAGAGGCGAATGAATGTAGGGCATGTCATATGGTGGGATGGAAACCCGCGGTACTCCAGACCAGGAGACAACTAACCACCGTGACAGAGAGCTCTTATCCAGAAGACAGAAAACTGCCCGGGCCTTCAGTTGGAGAGCGGGGCAGCAGAAGCAGGATTAATTAGCAGAGGAGGATGGGCACAGCATAACGCGGAGGGATGCACTCCCGTAAAGGAGCCAGGCACTTGTGCCAGCCTCTTCCTACCCGGCTCCTCTCCCCATCCCACAGCTTTTTCTGCTCCTTGCCCTCACCCACACCCAATATTTTTATGCCAAAATTAACACCCCAGGGACACCACAGCAGCGACAGCTTCGGCTCAACCCACTGCCACAAATCTTTCATATTCAGAGGGCACAATGGCAGAGGCTGGCGTTTCGTTTGCCTCTTCCCAATCAAGAGCTCCTCTTCCCATTTACACTTAAAGCCATCTCAGAATATTACCAGCCCTTGAAGAGATGTACGGCACAAGCCAGGACAGAGTTAAGAATCCATTGGGATTTGGGATGAGCTACTGAGAAGGTAGCGATGGCGTTCAGAGCACCTGTGGCCCAGTATAGCCATGTCAGTCGCCATTACGTATGCCGTGCAGCTAATTTCTCTTGGTAAATGACCTCCAACAGTGCCAGCAGAAGCAGCTCGGTCCCAGGGCTGGGTGGAGCTGAGACACATTTCTGCAGGAGCAAATTATGGTGTGAGCAACGGATGAATAAACAGACACATAATGAATGCCATCCCAGGAGGGAGGTACTTTTAAGTACAGGTATTTTCAAAAGGAGATCACATTTGTCTTTATACCTCCCTTTGTGGCAGAGCCGCCGAAATGCCGACTGCGGTGAGAACGCAGGAAGAGTGTAATTGCCCAAACAGGATGGCTTGGTGTCTATTTCTGCCTCTGAATGCCTGTCCCACCCCGTACAGGTGCACAGGCACCGTCCCAGCCAGCACTGCCCAGCGTTTTCCGTGCACGGCTGGAATTACAAAAATGTACAGCATTAAAAAAAAAAATTAAAAAAAAATCTTACACTTCCCTCTCCTCCACCCAAACACCCACCGGAGAGGGAAAACATCCCCCCCCAGCCTCTGTTGCCACCTTCAGGTAGCGCAGCCTCGGTCGCCGTGCGGGGGTTACGGTGGGAGCTCTGCCCTCTCCAGGGCTCTCTGGGTGCCCCCTGGAAAAGCAGCACCCCAGGGAGTGGAAGCAAAGGAGATGAGAGGAGCGGGAGAAACTGTAGACTTCATATTTAACAGTCACAAAAAGCTCCTCCCTGCTGGAACCAGGTTTCCTTGCTCTTATTTTTCTCTTCTTTCCCTCCAAACAAAAATTTCCCAGCGTGACTCTATAGCTGTTCCCCGGAACGGCTCTGACCCACCAGCCTTCCACCCCTCGGTTCCAAATCCATGGCTGTCCCAGTCTCACTTGCTCTTTTCTTACGGGGGCTGATCAGCCCTGTGTGTCCCGGAGAGGGGCTGCTCCCACCTGCAGGTCGCCCGCGCAGCAGGACCAAGAGGGGAGCGAGGCACGGACAGAGGGACACACAGAGGCCGTGTCTCCTCCGTTACTGGAAGGCTGTGAGGTTCACAGGCACCTCCAAGAAAAGATCCTTTCTTTCCCTTTTGACTTCAAGCACACCGGGTTTATTTTTTCCTACCATGAATAATGCTAGAAAGGTTCAGGTTCGGGTAAAAATAGCTCACTCGCTCTATGCAGGGATGCTCGACAGGTAAAAAAAATAGTGGCTATCTTTGAGCTCTGAGTCAGCATGAAACCATCTATACGCGTCTAATTGAGTGCTGACAACGTGTTTGGCTCTGTGGAAGGCAGACCCAGGCAGCCTCTGCCTCAAGGGACCGGCAATCCACTTCGACACGGCAAAGAACTATGTGCTGTGAGGTTCTT